TGCACGTTATTTTTTTGTTGTTTTCAAGTATACTGTCTCTTCCGCAGAAAATAACTCCAGAGATACGTTTCTCAAAACCTTATTCCAGGTATTCTCTATTCTTTAAGCATTAAGCACACCGCCTGGACATCCCCTGAATAAAGCCAGGCAATACTCCTGATGCGCTTCATGTTCCGTAAACCACCGGGGGGTGTGTTACGGTCAGATGATCCCCGAGGCTTGAAACCTGACCTCAATGTTATCCTTTATAAGAGAACGCCCCGAGGGAAATTCCGTTATAAAGTCTAAGTCACGTTCTTGGTTACCTAATTTGCAATATTTTTTTATTTTATTTACCAGATCCAGGCTGAACTTAAACTGCCGGAACCTCCAACTCCAAACCATTCTGCGAAAAGACACTACAGGGTCACAAGTTATTTTGGAGAGATGCCGTCCAGGGACTTCAAGGCACCGATATTATTTAGGTGCTGCAATGTTAATTACATCAAAGAAGAAAACCGACTGGAAATCCCGAAGGGAGAATTTGTCGGTAGATCAGTGCTCTAGGAAATGTCAGGCGACGGATTTCACGAGCCCAGGGAGACTGAGACATATGCTTACTTTTAATGGAAAGGATGCGAAATTATTAGTCCACATGCTTTTGATATGTATTTTTCACCCTCTATCTTTAGAGGCCCTTGACAAATGCGTAAGCTGCAGTCGTCAACGGGTAAATTATTGACTAAAGTGCGAATTCGAACCTTAGTTTTTAGTGCCTGATTTTTACAGTATCTGTAGACATATATAATATATATGTTAAACGTTTCCCAATCAAGTGTAAAATTATGACCTCAATAAACAAAGTAGATAACTTGATAACATCAATTGACTACTCCAGAACGGGTCTTTTCGCGGGCAAAAAAAAGAAACGCGAACCAAAAAGCTGTAAACAAACGTAGTATTTAAAAATTTTAACAGGCCAGAGACTAGAGACAAAGGACAGCCAAGGAGTTGAACTTTAAAGGAAACGAAAACAAATCCAGAGGGCACCTCACCTTACCGAGGTTACCCCATCCTCGCCTGACCCAAGGAAGTTAACGCTCGTTAACTACACGCTTGGATGCTTTATTTGAATCCATAGTCCATTGTCTATATCGCGATCAACCCCCAGTTAATATTTTTGTCTGTTGAGTATCATGTCTCAACAAACTAATCAGCCACTTTATAAGTAATGACTATTAAAGGCTCTCACCGTATCTGTCCCTGCCTGATGATGATATACAATTTTGATTATAGAAATAAATTTGAATGGCCTGAGGGAGAATTTCTCAAGTGGCACATAAGTCACGATGAAAATAATTATTAAAAAAGGGCGAGCAGCAACAAAAAGAAGATTGCAGCTTCATACAGGTTGTTTGTTTCGATTTTGAGTTCCCACCGGGTCCTCGCAAAATTTTTTGAAAAATTTCAGGCGCGTGTTGGCTGTCCCGTAAATGTATGATAGTAAAGTTTTGACGCTAGGTGCCATAATTTTGTCTAAATAGGTGGAAATAAGTTCAATGGGACGACTACATAGAAATAGGTGGCAGAAAACGACATAGAAAGAGGTGGCAGAAAGTTTCCGCAAACATTGGTGAAACAGGAAGACGACTAGAACACTGATTCCGCGAACACCTTCGCGACGTAGAAAGAAATGATAAGGACGCATTCGAACCAGCCGTTAGAAACTTAAATCTCCCTAATCATTCTTAGCAACATATGGCAGTTTGCAGCCTCTCCCTTGATATGGGCAGTTCGGAAAGCCGCAAAACTCTAGAACAAAAATTTATCTTTCAAATCGGCACTCTTAATCCCCACGGTAACAACTAGCGCTTTTCATTCGACTAAATTATTCTTGTTTTCTCGTCACCATATTCCCACCAAAAGCGTAGCTCCATTTTCTTTCTATAAACCCACACACAACCCACAATTTCTCTATTCGCTCTGACGAATGGCTAATGGTCAAAACGTCAGCTTTGAAACTCTTTACAGTGGCCAATTTACGTTATCAACTCAGTTGATAATACTAAATGACCATATAAAAAGTAAAAGGTTGATCGTATAAAATGTCGAACTGACCATATAAAACAGTAAAATGTTGATCATATGGAAAGCCGAGTTGATCATACAAAAAGTTGAATTGACTATAAAAAATTTGACTGGGTCGCAGACATACAGAGGGAATATTGCTGGTTGGCGCCTGATACTGTTTCCCTGCCGTGGCATAGAATTGACTGTTGAGCCAGCAAATAACATTAACTCGTGCAAGAATGGAGTGTTTTCTTTTGCTTGCGATCTTGACCTATTTGTCCTGTTGAAAGTACCAATTCGTCTAATGTTTGTCATTCGTCTAAAAATGCGAGGAACTTGCAGAACTTGCATTGTGATTGAGGCTCGAGCTTGGATTACGTTGTCTACCATGCGAGTGTCCATGACACGAGATACTTCAGCATTACCGCATTAACATTTGATTGAGTTGGCTAAAACATTTGTTCAGATAATACTTGAACTTCTTCAAGAAGTTGACGCACGCAGTTGTTGTCGTGATTGCTGCGCCATTTTGCTCGACTCCAGTGAACGAAGACGCCCCGGGGATGAGAGAACTTCCCGCCAAAATACACTCCGTTGACTAGCTGTTGCTTACCGGCCCAAAAAAGTAATCGATAATCTCGGATAGTGATTTCTTTTTCTCACACAGAAATTTCTCATTCTCAGCAGTTAATATTTATTTCTCGGTATATTGCTACATCAGTCTTTTCTTAATTAATGTTTTTTCTTTCTCGATAGGTAATTTAAAATCTTGCATGACATTCTCGTACAGTGATTTATATTTCTCATATGGTGATTTCCCAATCTCACCTATCAATCATTGAAACTCGATAGGTAATTTTGAACTCAACTCACTTTTGTCATGTTTGGCTTGTTGTAGTATTTTGGCTTGCCATGAAGAGAGAAAAAACAAACAAAAACCGGTGATACAATGAGCCTCCCCTATTCAAACACCAGCAGTAAGATCTTTTTTAGGTACACAAAGATTGCAATCATAAACAAAATAAGCACGTAATGTCAAAAAATAGTTGATCACACATTTCATAGCCGTTTACATAATTTTCAAATGCATTTATCGTCCCAAAAATTCGATACAATTTTTTGGATACAAATTTCAACCACGTTTTACCGTTATGAGGAAATCGCCTTTGAGACGATGAAAAAATTCGGGAATTTTCCGAGGAATCTTCGCTATTTGTTGCCGTGCGTGTTTTTTCTTTGTAGCAGTGCTGGGATTACATGCGTGTGCCTCCGCGAATATATGTCCATTCGCAGATTAAGGAGCACGATGTATGTAATTCTTCTAAGGAACATATTCTAAGATAATGATTGCCAAACTCGGGGCACTGACTAAATATACAATTAGCACTCGGTACCTTATCTAACTCGACGAGCTATTTAGATGCTGTTTTCTGACAAACAGTTTTCAAGGCTTTTTGACGTTGTTATTATGAGCAAGATACAAGAAGCTTAATCTTATCATTAACATCTTTACTGGAATGATGTAGTGAGGAACATGCCTATATCGGAGTGAACTAGTCCCCTCCCACCAGACAGATTGGACTGAATTGAGGAGCTCAAGGAGTGACGTCAACTTGAATCCCAAATAGCCTGGAATCCTACATCATAATGACGTGCATGAAGCGTCAAACAGCTTAGTTTGTTAAGGACCTCTGACAATTTACGACAGCCCGATAAATATTAGATAATCACGAAGAAATTAAATTTAAATCACCTCCATGGCAGAAAGTGTTTTTTGTAGTTACTAATCTTACGTTTTTTTTCTCGTGTTTCGTTTTTTAGTTGCTTTTATTCCTTTGATTTTTTTTTTTTGATCTAGTTTGGGAATTGGCGATGTGCTTGGACAGCATCACTGCAATCACGTTAATCAAGGACGTACATACCTGTTTTCATAGCAATGAAATATCATGAAAGCGCGTTCATACACGCTCTAAACTTGAAGTAAGCACTTTAAGTAAGCCCATATCTACATTATGGAATGACGGTTATTCCACTCATTCGGTAAACATGACTGAAACGATTATAATGACTTGAATCATGTTTGTCTGAAAGCGTTGTTTTGTGTCGGTTTCAAAATCCGCATGACTTAGTTTCAGGAAGAAACATAAAGGAAAGAGGCAATGGCAAGGTCATGCAGTTGAAGACATGGCATATTAGGAACATCAGAGGATATCTAGAATGTCAAATAAACACTGAAAAAGTAAATCCTTTGCTTGGCTCTATTTCAAGACGTTTGTTACAAATCAGGCTCACTTCCTACAGAACATCACATCACATAAACAGCGCTTTTACGCTTCATTGACCAAGCGTGATTCCGGAAATCAAAGTATTACAAGTGATTAGATACTTATACATGTCATCAAGGTTAAACTTATCGTATTAACCTTATATAATTTTTCTCTTGAGAACGATAGTTTGATGTTTTCATTATTTATCAAGATGTTAAACCTGAATGCACTGAACCTCACGCTTTCAAAAGCTAATTCATACTCAAAAGTTGCTGGAAGTTTTAGCAAAGCAGTAATGTTACATCATAAAGATTCGAGGCAAGATATGCAATGAAAAATGCTGATATCTCAAAAAGCTGGTGTTGTTCAGATAATAGCACTCTTGATATCACGATATTGTGATCTTGGAGCTAATACTTGTGTCCTTGTGTAAGTGGACATTACTGTTAGAAAGCGTACGGCCTTTACTGAGACAAAATAGTTTCTAAAGAAACTTTGGTGCTGCGTCGGTGGGAGAGTAAGGAATTGCAGAGCTGACATTTCGAGCGTTAGCCCTTCATCAGAGCGAAACCAAAAGGGCTAACGCTCGAAACGTTAGCTTTGAAACTCTTCACAGTGGCCAATTTATGTTATCAAATCAGTTGATAAAACCAAATGACCCTGTTAAGGCAAAGATATATGAACTTTACATTCACATTTGATGTACAATAAAGCTAAAAGATTGGCTTAAATTTTATTGGCTATATATCAGAAGTAACATAGTATTCGTGACGATACTAAAGCGGAGCGAACATGCCTATTTAGACCATTACTTGAAGCATATGCCGCATTGCTATATGTAATATCTTATTTAGAACTATCCATCTCAGTTGCCTCTTGGATATAGATTTCACTGCGGCCTTTTCCACGTCTCACTTTGAGAAAACAAATGACTCCAATGATCGCTATTACGACAAAAATGGCCGCTCCTGCAGTAGCAGCTGCGATGACATACCCTGGTGTGCCATACGATGCTTTTCCTGAAAAGGAAGACAGCTTTATAAAACGATAGTTAAGGGAACTACATGACAGTTTTAGAATAACGTTGGAAGCTTGCCATCTGCAATCCGTGTAAAACTACACCTTCTTAATCTTCCACGTTCCTTTCTTTCCACACTTTTTTTGCCTACTGCCCTCAGAAAAATATCATTTTAAGACATTATACTGATTTAAGGACATTGCCTAGTGGTTTAACACAAAATAGGCGTAAATATTTGGCGACTTAAGTATGACTTTCCCTTTCCCCATAGAGAGCGAAGATTAACATGAGTAACGAGTTTGTGTTGCAGATTTGTGATATTTTGTGTTTTCAGATTAAAATGTTATGGTTTTTCGATGATCAAATTTTCTACTTGAACCATTTTAAGGGACTTTCTTTTTTCATCAAGCAGAACCTTGACGAGGAAGTGAAAGTTACGTTCTCTTCTTGCAATACTCTTTTAGTTACAGCAGAGTCTAACCACATAGTAGTTAGGTATATCTCACTGAATTCATAAAAATCTCAGATGG